TTCGGATGACCCAGATATCTCCCTTTAACTCAAATATGATTCAGTGATTACTTCTGCTATTACAGATATCGCTTTCTGCTCAATATTCTTTTATGTTAAAAATTTTATATGTTTAGTGAAATGGAAATATCTCTTGGAAGAAGATTAGCAACAGAACAACAAAAATGGCGACGACTAAGCCTGATTCAAGACCAGGTCAATGCCAGATCATATCGTAATAGACAATGGCATCTTAGTGTTTCACATGACAGGTGTAAACAAATGGGACGACAATTTAAAAAAAAATATAGGTATAAAGAAACTGAAACGGTTCATTTTGCTCAAGAACTAATTTTGTCTAAATGCAGATAAATATTTTTATTTGTATATATTATTAGTACGACTAAGGGAAGTATTCACTCATAAGTCTACGAACTCGATTTACCTTCTTTCCAACTACAGATGAGACAGGAAATGTTTAAATAATAATTATAATTATTATATGTTCTGATGATTGAACTAGACTTCACTGCAAACCGGATAATCTCTCCGATTAAGCTAATCCGAGTAAATACTGAGATGAGATATTGTCACTATTTATACTATTTACATTATTCAGACTGTTGTTTTCATCTTTATTGCCACATTCAACGGTGTTTCGGCCGTTGCACGCTTCGGCCTTCATCAGGATCTGTCTATATTCCAGATATTAAGTATTTTAACTATTTATACTATTTACATTTTTCGGACTGTTGTCCTCATCCTTATTGTCATATTCACGAAGTTTCAGCCGCTGTACGCTCCGGCCTTCTTCAGGAGAATGTAAATTCGAACTGAAGCCTTATTTCGTCCGGGTAGATTGTTCTAAGGATATCAAATGATCCTTAATGATTGTCCTACAATAATGTCATTATGCCGTACTGTCCTGCCGAGGGTGGCTAGAAAATGCCGACTGCACCCCCTGCAGTGGATAAGACCACCCCAAAGACAGAAGCAACCAAGATTCAAACATAAACTATTAGCATTTATCTATCCCAGAACCAAGTTAATACTTCTAATCCCCTGTACAAATTAACATTTTCCTATCGACTTAATGTATAAATAGCCAATATTTACCAATAGACTGAAGTACAACGAACCAATATTGATCGATAAACACAAGTATATGTCTATAATTCTGAGAAAGGTTATAATACACTGTTTACATTATGCGGACTATTGTCCTCATTTTTTTCCCATATTTATTACAATGTTTAGTGTTTTGTGTAAAGACCAGCCTAAACGTTGTAATAAATATATAAGATTCACAAAGATGAGGACAAACTAATCTTCTGTATTTAAATGACCAATATATATATTGGTAAGATGAGGACAATAATCCGAATAATGTAAACGCAACAAATGACCAATATATATATTAAACTAAATGGGGACAATAGTCCGAATAATGGCGATAAAAGGCAAGTATAAATGAGATAACATATATATTGGTAAACTGAGGACAATAGTCCGAATAAACAAACGCAAGTATAAATGTCAACATATATATTGGTAAGATGAGGACAATAGTCCGAATAATTTTAAACGAAATATAAATTTAATATATATATTGGTAAGATGAGGAACAATTGTCCAAATAATGTAAACTGTAAAAAAGATTAATAACCATAACATATATATCAGGTAAGATGAGGGACAATAGTCCGAATAATGTAAACAAAAATATAAATGACCAATATATATATTGGTAAAGATGAGAACAATAGTCCGAATAATGTAAACATTCTTATATAAATGACCAATATATATATTGGTAAGATGAGGACAATAGTCCGAATAATGTAAACGCAAGTATAAATGACCAATATATATATTGGTAAGATGAGGACAATAGTCCGAATAATGTAAACGCAAGTATAAATGACCAATATATATATTGGTAAGATGAGGACAATAGTCCGAATAATGTAAACGCAAGTATAAATGACCAATATATATATTGGTACACTCAAGGATATATTACCAACATCTACCTATAGACTCAAGCTCAACCGATTATTATTTGCTTATAAAAACAAGAGGAAACGGCCAGTACCTACCGATAGGCTCAAGAATAAATTATTAATATTCAACTGTAGAGTTAATTAAAAACGTCCAATATTTATCTATAAACTTAAACACAGAGAGAGAAAGAAAGAAAAAGAGAAAGAGAGAGAGAAGACGATATATATCTATCTAAAGTACTTGTTCGTGTGAAGTATCTGCAACATTTTTACTGTCTTCACCAGTGTGAGGAAACTATTGCCTCATGGGCGCGGGTTTTATGTAACGGAATCCCATGTAAAAATGAATGTTTGGAAATAATATTAGAATATTCTATTTTATTCTAGTGTCGGCTGCGGTGATATTGGAAAGCCCTAAACGTTGTTAATTCGCGTTTTTGTAATACTGGCACAGTTTTATTGCGTGCCCATTGAGCTACGTACACGTTTTGCTAAGTGGAGCAATCGAACAAAACAATTCAATACAGCCGTTTGTGGACACTTAAGCTGTTTGCCTCGCGGGCGACAATATAGATAAGAGGCATACATGGGGAAAATACATTATTTGTTTCTACACGAATTTGTCCATTAAAAGAGATATCTAATATTAACATTGATTAAACCTGGATTAGGTTGGGGCGTTTCCGTTCGTTCGACTGTAACGAAATATCACGCACGTCTTCAGTATCTGTCTGTATTTCTGAGATGAAGTATTATGTACACTATTTACATTATTCGGTCTATTGTCCTCATCTTTGTCGCCATATTTATTACAACGTTTCAGCCGTTATACACTCTGTTCTTCTTCACTTGTTTGGAATGTCGAAATGAACCCTTTATCTCGCTCACTGGGGTAGACTGTTCTAGCTCCACGTGCCATGTTTAATGGATGTCAGCTATCAGTTATATCCTGTTAATTCCCCTCGCCAAGTTCTCTACTGCCTTAACCGAGTATTGAACTCACACTCTTTGGGACCTGTCAATGGATCTAACCAAAGGTTTTTATCCACTGTGGCGTGTGTCCCTGAGAAGCGTACAACAGCTGAAACATTGTAATAGATATGGCGACAAAGATGAGGACAATAGTCCGAATAATATAAATAGTGAACTTACGTCTGGTTGGGTAATCAAATATCGAAATCAATTTTTGCTCTTTGTTTTATATATATATATATATATATATATATATATATATATATATATATATATATACTTAAAATATTGTTATTCTAGTGAGAAAAACTTATTTGAAATACACCATAATAGTGTTTGAAGTAATATTTCGGGATGTGCTGATGTTGTGGCCTTCTTAGGGTCAGAAATAGACACACAGAAAGGAATTGAGTTAAATATATTAACAGAAACAGTAATATAAACATATACAAATGAGAGTGTTAGAGCAAGTATATTCGGTCAGAGTTGACTGCTGGAAACTTCCCCCTCCAAAAGGCAGTACCTGCTCCTATTTATAGCTGGGAGAGTCCATGCATGCGTGGGTAAATTTCTATAACAGAATAAAAATGAATTCTTTAGCCACACACACACATACACACACACACACATATATATATATATATATATATATATATATATATATATATATATATATAAACATCGAGTCAAAACAAGAATCCTCAACAGAATGCAGAAAGTATTTGACGGCCGTTTCGTCCCTTTTTTTTAGGACTCATCAGCAGTGCAAATCTACTGCCGAGAATCGAACACGGACCGTCACCGATGCCTGCTGGCCTAGTGGTATGACGCTTGCTATGTATCGTAACTGTCCTTGTTCGATACTCGGTAGTTGATGCGCACTGCTGATGAGTCCCCCGCCCCCCAAAAAAAGACTAAGCAGCCGGCCAGTGTTTTCTGCATTCTGTTTCTGTACGTTTTCTTATTCTAGATTCAATGAATTATCATGTGAAATATGTACGTGTACGTGTATTGGTCGTTTCTGCTTGACTCGTTAGATATATATACAGGGTGACCCAAAAAAACGGCAATTTTTGAAGTGCGTATTGCCAGACATGAGCAATTGGCAACACTGCGAGACAGTGACCTTGAGCAAGTAAACATTTCGCCATTTAGAATTCAAGATGAAATTCACAGTATCCCAGCTGAGATGTTGCAGCAGTCAATGAGGAACCTCAACAGCAGATTTCATGAATGCATTCGTACAGGAGGACGCCATATACAGGACATCATTTTAAAAAAATGCAAATTCCATCATTGTTTCTTAAATGGCATGTTTTAAGGTTTCAATTACTATGATTAAAATATTTTTCTTCCATCACTCTTGGTTTTATTGGATTGTTAAAAAGTTCCCGTTTTTATGGGGTCACCCTATATATTGCGCTAAATTGGTCAAAATCCGATATTTCGTATAAATGGTTCAAATGCGATATTCCACTTGTATCTAAATAATTGTTGTCTACTTTGTTGTTGAACTTTTATGTGCTATGCACATTCATGACACAGGCGAACACACATCTCAGTAACTTCCTATTTTTTGTTGCACTAAGGAACTAATTTCGAACTTTTCTTCCCGTCTTAGTAGATATAGATTTTAATTTAAACACTCTCGTTAACATCAAATGATTGGCTGATATGGAATATCAGTTGATTATTTTGATATTTTCCCAGCGATGTCAGTTCTTGTTAGTTCTTGATCAACTGACGCTTCACTACCTGAGCCAAGGATTGAACTCATCGCCACTAAATGAAAGAATCACATGTATAACCAACTCCTATATATATATATATATATATATATATGATGGCCATCAGTTCATTTTTTGGATCACTGCCGTATAGGGGACTAGATATAGCATAGCAGCTCAGCACAATTTTTTGTGGGTTTTACGGAGTTTTCATATCTCTAATAATTTGCTTAGATTCTGAAAGGCATATTTTGCTATTCCTACACGTCATCGTGATTTTGTGTCACATTTGCCATCGTTTTTTAATCTACTGGCTTACGAAAATACCACATTGAAATATTGGTTCTCCTCCGATCACCGAATTTAAGCAGCGTTGAGCCTGATCACTAACTAGATGGGCGACTCCTTTGGAATACCAGGTGCTGTAAGTTTGGATGTGCGTGTAGTGTAATGGATAACGGCTCGAGATGAGAAATCGGAGAGTCGAGTTCGAATTCTAGTCGTGTTCCTCAAATTCCCCGATGGAAAATACACTTGAGCGATCCAGAATCGAAAAGGGATATGATCACCCATGCGTTTCATATCAGTCCCTAACAATACGCATTGGACTAGCGCTGTGCAGTAATGGCACATTCTGCCCAATGAATCCTGGGAAGGCGCACGTCTAGCAAATGATATTTCGAGGCTGTGAGAAGTTGTTACTTCACTACCCACATAGATGTAACGGCTTTATTCTGACGTCTCTAATACGTTGCTCACTCAGAAAAAGTTAGTTTTTAACTGACATCTTTTAAAATTTTATACTTTCTTGCGTTATTGATTGTTATCTCAGTAGATTTTGTAATGAACTGCACTGAAACAGAAATAGCATTAAAATGAAACAAATGTCTGCTTAGAAAATGCCTCAGAGGCTAAATAGTTTCCCGTTGATTTTCCTCATCAATTCAGTGAGAGCTTTGTTCGGTATTCGGTGATACTCGTTCGAATGATTTCGATACAGTGGGTACAAAAACAATTCGACAGCGGAGTAAGAAGATGGCTTCGACTCTAGCGCAAAGTAAGAAGACTGCTTCGACTCTCAAGCGGTGTAAGAATATGGCTCCGACTCTGGAGCGGAGTAAGAAGACGTCTGGCTTCGACTCTGGAGCGGAGTAAGAAGACGTCTGGCTTCGACTCTGGAGCGGAAAGAAGACGTCTGGCTCCCACTCTGGAATTCAAGTAAGAAGTCTGGCTTCGACTCTGGAGCGGAGTAAGAAGACGTCTGGCTTCGACTCTGGAGCGGAGTAAGAAGACGTCTGGCTTCGACTCTGGAGCGGAGTAAGAAGACGTCTGGCTTCGACTCTGGAGCGGAGTAAGAAGACGTCTGGCTTCGACTCTGGAGCGGAGTAAGAAGACGTCTGGCTTCGACTCTGGAGCGGAGTAAGAATATGGCTTCGACTCTGGAGCGGAGTAAGAAGACTGCTTCGATTCTGGAGCGGAGTAAGAAGACGGCTCCGACTATGGAGCGTGTTCCCTTATGTCAGACATAGTTTTGCACAACAAATATTTTTTCTTTACAGAAAGTAGCATTTAATCCGTGGGCAATTGCTGGTACGTGCATTTTATCCTGACCGATTGTTAAATCTGAATTGCTGCCAAAGTTCGCTCAGTCCAACAAACCCATACTCTTCTTTAACTGAAAGCTTCAATCAGCGCCCTCTTCGTACCCTTCTCAGTATGCATAGGTGGGATTTCCTCACAAAAAACCTTCAAGAGTACCAGCGTCTCCAGTGCTTAAGCTATGCTGCAACATAAAAAAAACAGCTGCATTGGGCAGGCGTGATATCAGGAAGAACATCGACTTGCAAATACTCGACTCTTCGAGGAGCTGGCCTCCGGCCAATGCATCGCAAGAACACAGCGAAGATAAAATAACTTTCTGAAAAAAATAAACATTTTCACTTAAGAAATCAACCAGAGCAATACAAAGTGAAATCTTACCATAGACCTTTTCTTTGTTTTTTTTAGGGGTGGGGAGCACAAGATTTTACAGGGAAAGCGCTGACTGAATCTAGCCGTAAACTCAGAGTGAAAAAAAAAACATCACCGTCAATTTCGTGTTGTTACTGAAAACCGGTTCTAATTATAATCCCGCTGTAGATAAAACTTGGTATTTACCGGCAGAATCTGTCTGTCTGTCTATCTATCTATCTATCTATCTCGGTCTGTTTTTTTATGATCTATCTATCATCTCTATCTATCTATCTATCTATCTATCTATCTATCTATCTCGGTCTGTTTTTTTATGATCTATCTATCTATCTATCTATCTATCTATCTATCTATCTATCTATCTCGGTCTGTTTTTATGATCTACCTATCTATCTTGGACTGTTTTTATGATCTACCTATCTATCTCGGTCTATTTTTATGATCTATCTATCTAACTCGGTCTGTTTTTATGATCTATCTATCTATCTATCTATCTATCTATCTATCTCGGTCTTTCTGGGTCTGTTTTATCTATCTATCTATCTATCTATCTATCTATCTATCTGTCTCGGTCTGTTTTTATGATCTATCTATCTATCTCGGTCTGTTTTTATGATCTATCTATCTATCTATCTATCTCGGTCTGTTTTTATGATCTATCTATCTATCTATCTCTATCTATTTATATATCTATCTATCTATCTCAGTCTGTTTTTATGATCTATCTATCTATCTCGGTCTGTTTATCTATCTATCTATCTCGGTCTGTTTTTATGATCTATCTATCTATCTCGGTCTGTTTTATCTCGGTCTGTTTTTCTATCTATCCTGTCTTTCATCTATCTATCTATCTATCTATCTCGGTCTGTTTTTATGATCTATCTATCTATCTATCTATCTATCTATCTATCTATCTATCTCGGTCTGTTTTTATGATCTATCTATCTATCTATCTATCTATCTATCTATCTATCTCGGTCTGTTTTTATGATCTATCTATCTATCTATCTATCTATCTATCTCGGTCTGTTTTTATGATCTATCTATCTATCTATCTCGGTCTGTTTTTATGATCTATCTATCTATCTCGGTCTGTTTTTATGATCTATCTATCTATCTATTTCGGTCTGTTTTCATGATCTATCTATCTCGGTCTGTTTTTATGATCTATCTATCTATCTATCTATCTATCTATCTATCAACGCAAATACGTGATTCTAGCCTTAAGTAGTCGCATGTACCTTTGACCTCATACTAACTCAATTAATTTCTATTGTGTTGTCAAAAATAAAAACAAAATATTTTCGTTGAACTTTATTTGCGAGGAACCGGTTACTCGTTTCTCTCAACTTGAAAAAAAAAAGATTGCTTTTATCCTCAGTAATAATTTTTTTTTAAATTTGTAGAACTGTGTTTGAAGATTATTTACTTTCTTCGTTTTCATACACTTCCTCTCTCTCATCTTTTTCCATGAAGAATAACAAGACTTAGGAAGAGAGGATCCTTCGAAACCATTTCTCCGCTATGCAAGTTTCTTCAAAATATCTTCACCCAATACAAGTCCTAATAGCCACTGAATATCTGAACTTCTGGAAGTAATTTTTGAAATAGCGATAACGGATCTATAGGCTTGCGATATTTCATCAGTGGAAATTAAAAAAAAAAACTTGAAATTCTGTCCTTAGTAGGCAGGGCGGGGTAGATGAAACGAATACTGTTTAAAATGAGCAATGCAAAATAAAAGGGAACGTCTGCACAAATACAGGAATAAACTAAGAAATAAAAAAATATGTCAGATGAGAAAAATAAAATCCATTAATTCTTCACATATATATATATATATATATATATATATATATATATATATATATATATATATATATATATATATATATATATATATATATATATATATATATATATATTTGTATGTATGTGTGTGTTTTTTTAAGATGTGGTACAAGCCTGAAAATATGGAGCACCCTTGAGAATCGACATCACTACTTACTCGTAATTGTTCCATCGAAGCAACCTTGTTAAGCATTTACACAACGTCGAGGTGACTTGGAGAGCGAGAGATGTGTGTGTGTTAAAGATCACAAAACCAAGAAGATTTTTTTTTATATATTTAAAGACATAACAAAACTAGGTTTTAATTCAAATCCGTCATAGAATAGCATCTAACAAGTAAAAAGAAACAACGTCTCGGACGGAATGAACCCTCCGCCACAGATTTTGAGTGGCTAATACGCTAACCGCTGCAACACGGAACCTAACAAGCATTGTATTTTGAGACAAAATGGTAATATCAATTGGAGGTCTTCGATAGTAATTACAAATTATTCCCCGCTCCTAACGCCATCACAGTATCATTTAGCTATTCTTCCGCTGACGTCTTTGATCTTATCTTCCGCCTGTCCTATACGATTACGGATCTCGTTTTGCAGCACATCGTCCAGTTTCACACATTACCAAAAAGAAAAGAAAATACAAGAACGTAAAACAATAATGATTAAAGAAAAAGACGCCATTAAATAAGTTTCGTTTTCCTAACTGTTACATCAAACATATTGAATAATTAATCAACACACAGGCTCAGTTTACACAATGCCAAAAGTGGAGTGTAACGTATTTCATTGCAAGCGGCCTACAAATGACAACCCAACACGTCTGAACGGGAGTTAAATTTACAATGTTCTCAACAACAACCGGTTTGAGAGAAAAGTAAAACGAAGACATGGTGCAAACTTCTGGGTCTGACAGAGAATCACTTTAAAAAAAAATGATGATATTCGTTCACATTCTGTGAAGTGGATCACTCAGGATACGTATTGGCATCCCTTTTAATAACCAGGTTCCCATAATAAAATATGATAGATGTCCTTCGCTTCCTGAACATGAAACCCGGGTTTGAAACTCACTGTGGTCGGATTTATCAGGGAGATGATTTCTTGATTCTTTTTGCCTGGGGGAGGCGATCTCAGTTCACGGCACATTTTGTAAAGTACCTGAAAAATATAAAACGGTTTAACCTAAAACTTGGCAGTGAAACTGAGTAGACGGAGCAGCTCGGTAATTCGTACGGGGTCACAAGTCATCGTGACCGAGAATTTGAGCGGACCGGCCTTGTTAAAAAAAAAACTTGGTTACGTCAGATTATGCGCCCATTCCCAGAAGCTATAAATAAGGTTTGCTCAGCATTCATAAGCTTCAATCAGCAAGGCTCGATATAAACTCTCCTAGGAGAATCAATAAAATCTATTGAATTTTTTTTTACATACCTAGGAAGCGAGATAAAATCTACTTAAAAGGATGTGAAAAATCCAATGGTTAAAACCTTTGTCGCTTTTTTAAAAAAAAAAAAAACTACATGTAATCTGGAAATCTGATCTACCAGACAGCAAAAAACGAAGTTCTCGCGCCACTGTTGAGTTGGTTTAAATATATGGTACTACTTGCCTGGAAATTAACTAAAGCCCTTGTTTCTAAGCTTGTTGGATTTTGCCTTCAGATGCTGAGATCTATACTTAAATAACATCTCTATGGACCTATCCCTGGTATTTATACAATCTTACGCGCTTTGCAGGATACTGCGGGCGAGCAACTCAAGAACTTGCGAGTGATCTGCTCTGGACACCTAATCATGGCGTAAGAAGGGCTGATATTACAAAGCAACTACCTACACAGATCAACAATGTTATGACAAAGGACACCATGCTAACGAAGTTCCGAAGTCGATGTAGTTTGGCGTGAGAGTGTGTGGAATGTCCGAGCTAGCTCGACAGAGTATTAAAGCTAACACATATGACGGCTGATAAAAAAAAAAGCATCGGAACTAGTGCTATAAAAATTGAAAACCTGTGAATTCGCCATTTAATTTCCTTCGGCGTAGTCCACTTCTGAAGCCTCGCACATTATCCAGTGTCGTATAACATTAATGGAAGCATAATTGGAACTCCTTTTTGGAACTCATCGCGTTCTCTTTGATTTCGTAGACGTCTCTCAACCGGGTTCTGTTCATGTTTGATTTGAGTTTTAAAAAGGAAAACGTCGCAAGAGACGAGATCTGAAAAATATGGTGGCTGTCAAACCTTGAGAATGTTTTATTTTTTTAAGAACTGGTACACAAGGTATGGTCACTGATGGAATCTTCGTGATGTGGTAAGGTAACCACACTCTACACACTTTCTTTCCGAGCAACGCTATGTACAACAGAAGCGAACAAGAGTATTAACATCTAGTGTGCATGCGCGACAGTGTTCAATGACTAACTTTGCTAATCAACTTCATTCTGCGCATCGTTACCATAGCAACAGTCCCGATACATGTTGATCACACACACATACATATATATATATATATATATATATATATATATATATATATATATATGTATAAAGAAACAGACAACTTTAAGGGTTTATGGGATTATAATTAATTTCCTTAGGACAGGGATTTTGGTCCTAATTCTTAAGATCTCCATTTTTATACGAATATATATATATAGGTTCTGGAGGCACTTTACATCGGGTCCCGCAAGCCTTCTTTGTGCAAACAACGTGAGTGTTTGCTGGGACTCGCTGTCATCTGCCTCTAGTTCCTTCTTGCATATATACGAACATATATATATATATATATATATATATATATATATATATATATATATGTGTGTGTGTGTTTTTTTTTTTTTTCCACCTATTCTTACTGTACATTTCTCTGTTTTAATATTGAATCTCCCGTGGAAGCCTGACGAGCAGGAGCGAAACCATTGCTTCCCCCCCCTTTGTTGTTGAGTTTTTTTATTTTATTTAATACTTTTTTAATATGTCTTGTAATATTAAATTTTATACTTTTATTTCGATCATT